GGGGGTGACAGAGATAGGGAGGGAGTGTAGGGGACGGGCTGGGGTGACAGAGATGGACGTTCTCCCTCCTGCCCTGTTACCCCTCCCTCCCCAGGGTGAGCGTAGTCTGTCCTTACCTGTACCATCAGAGTGCACACTCCCCTCCGTGTCCTCCTCCGGGGCAGCTCCCCTTCCTGAGGGAGGGACGTCCCTCAGGCGCCCCTCCTCCTCCCGCGTTTCCTCCTCCCCCTCCACCTTCTGGCCGTTCAGTCTGGGTTTGCTCTCTGCCGGTGGGGGTCGGGGGGGCTGTGGGAAAGTCTCGGTTTGTTGATGTTGCTGCTGCTGGGGGAGTGGGGGGAGACCAGGCAGGATAGGGGTGTGTGTGGGGTGTTGGGGGGAGGGGGGAAGACGGCAGAGTAGGGGTGTGTGAGGTGGGGAGGGAGCGGGGGGAGGATGGTACTGGAAGATAGCGGGGAGGATGGGGGAGGTGTGGGGTGTGTGAGGTGGGGAGACCAGGTGGGGTAGGGGGGTGTGTGAGGGTGGCGAGGATGAGGGGTTGGGGGTGGGTGCGGCGCAGGAGAAGGGGTTAGTATGGTGTGGAGGAAGACAGAATGGTCGTTAACAGTCAGAGGGAGCAGAGACTTCCTCAGCATTAACCGTTCGCTGAACTCCTACAGGAACCCTCCCCCCTACAATATAATCTGAACCCTGTTCTCCTACTCTGTCTCAGCAGCAAACTCATTTCTAAAGTCAACACTCTTAGGGACCTCTGGTACTTAGAGTCACAGAGACGTACAGCACGGAAACAGACCCTTCGGCCCAAACCGTCCGTGCTGACCCAGATACCCTAAACTAATCCAGTCCCATTTGCCAGCATTTGGCACATATCCCTCTAAACCCTCCCTATCCATGTCCCCATCCAGATGCCTTTTAAATGCTGTAACTGTACCAGCCCCCACCCACTTCCTCTGGCAGCTCATTCCATACACGCACCACCCTCCGTGTGAAATAGTTACCCCCTCAGGTCCCTTTTAAATCTTTCCCCTCCCACCTTAAACCTATGCCCCTCTAGTTTGGGACTCCCCTACCCTGGGGTAAAGACCTTGGCTATTTACCCTATTCTCATGATTTTATAAACCTCTATAAGGTCACCCCCTCAGCCTCCGACGTTCCGGGGAAAACAGCCCCAGCCTCTCCCTGTAGCTCAAACCCTCCAACATCCTTGTAAATCTTTTCTGAACCCTTTCCAGTTTCACAACATCCTCCCTACAGCAGGGAGACCGGGATTGCACACAGTATTCCCAAAGTGGCCCTAACCAATGTCCTGTACAGCCACAACATGACCCTCCCAACTCCTATACTCAATGCACTGACCAATAAAGGCGAGCGTACCAAACACCTTCTTCACCGCCCTGTCTACCCGCGACTCCACTTTCAAGGAAGTATGTACCTGCTCCCCCCGAGGTCTCTCCCTGTTCAGTGACACGACCCACGACCTTACCGTTAAGTGTGTAAGTCCTGCCCTGATGTGCCTTTCCCCAAAACGCAGCACCTCACATTGATCTAAATTAAACTCCATCTGCCCCTCCTCGGCCCATCGGCCCATCTGATCATTGTAGTGACTCAGAGAGAGGAGGAGGAGGAGGTCACACATGCTGTCGATAAGTGGGGACCCAGTGGATGCAGCGTATTTAGATTTCCAGAGGATTTGATAAAGTAGCCACATCCGTGGTTAGTGTGGAAAATGAAAGCTCATTTTCAGTCACGTATTGACGGTGGTGGGAGTTGGGGGGGGGGGGGGAGCGCGAGGGGAGGAGACTGGCTGGCTAGGAGGGAACAGAGAGGACTAACTCTGTCTCTCTTTCCAGGCCGGCCGGGGAGTGCAAGTGGGGTGTGGTGTCACTGAATCCTTCCTGATCGACAGAAATGACTTTATGCCTGTGTGTCAATGGCTTGGGAATAGACTTTACAAAGGCCAAAGTATGTTTGTGGTTCGCAGAAAGGATTTAAACTTCACAGTCGGGGGTCTGTTTAGTAACTGTACTGAACATATTAAAATTGGCCAGGCAGCCAAGTGCCAGGGCGGTAGCCTTAGGCCAACAGGAGGAGGGTCAGTTGGGAATAGAGTGAAATCCCAGTTGGGTGTGAGTTCAAGTACTGAGGCAAGAGAATACAGGATGGGCAGTCAGACCCTGAGGAACACCAAGGATCAGAGGGGCCTGGGCGTCTCTGTGCACCGCTCCCTGTCGGTATTAGGGCAGGCCGGTACAGTGGCGTCTGGGAGACTTGTCTCTCTTCGCGGAGGGACAGAGTTTAAGATCAGGGAGCAGAATGAAATGCCATTTCAGTCACAGCGAGAGTGTAGTGTGCAGTTCTGGGATCCACGTTATCGGAGGGATGGCAGTGGAGAGGGCATGGACAGAGATTTACCGGGATGTTGCCTGGTGCTGGGGGAGATTTACCAGGACATTGTCTGGTGCAGGGGGAGATTTACCAGGATGTTGCCTGGTGCTGGGGGAGATTTACCAGGATGTTGCCTGGTGCTGGGGGAGATTTGCCAGGATGTTGCCTGGTGCTGGGAGAGATTTATGATGCAAAGGTATACAAAAACTAGGGGCCAAGTGATAGGAAATGGGATTAGAATAGATAGGTGGTCATTTCTCACCAGTCCGAAACAATGGGCTGAAGGGCCTGTCACTGTGCTGTGGGTCTCTATGACTATTCAATACAGATCATACTCTAACATCCAGAATTAGCATGAGGCAAATACGGAGAGGAGGCACACACTGTCATTAAACACCCCACTGACTATGCCAAATTGCAGAAAGCACTTAAAACTGTGGCAGATGGAGTTTAATTTAGATAAATACGAGGTGTTGTATAAGCCCAGGACTTATATAGTTAATGGTAGGGACCTGGGCCGTGCTGTAGGGGCAGAGGGGCCTGGGTGGTGCTGTCAGGGTAGAGGGGCCTGGGTGGTGCTGTCGGGGTAGAGGGACCTGGGTGGTATTGTAGGGGCAGAGGGGCCTGGGTGGTGCTGTAGGGGCAGAGGGACCTGGGCCGTGCTGTAGGGGGCAGAGG